GTGAAGTTGGAGAGGATCTTTTTGATCACAGAGTGGATTTAAATTGCATGACAGAATCTTCCACACCCGATATCTAATAAACAAAAATTTTTAAAAATCAAAAGCATAGATATTTACCAAATATCAAATTAAGAGAGGTCACAACCTAATTCAGTGTTCTTCAAAAACTGGTGGACAGGGAATAAAAAAGAAGGTTCCAGGGGAAGAGCAGAGAAACACCACTGTGTTTATCAGAAAACAGAAGCCTGGAATTGTCACTATGACCCTTAAATCCAGAGTTGCTTTGCCTTCTCAAATTTCTAACTAGGAAGTAGAGAGGGACGTGGGGAGCTGACTCCTTCTGATGGAAGTGCAGTGTCAGGGTTAGACTCAGCTAAGAGCTGGCCCCAAGCCCTGGAGTCTTCTAACATAACGGGTCAGGCCAAGGAAGAGACAAGGAGGACTGAGAAGGAACAGCCAGAGAAATAGGTGAAGCACAAAGAGAATAGGATTTTATGGAAGGCAGAAGAGGATGGGGTAGGCAGCTGTGTCTATTGCTGCTGAGAGACTGAGTAAATGAAGACCAAGAAGTGTTCACCGAATTTGGCCAAATAGTGGCTTTTTATAACTTGACTAGCAGTTTCAATGGAGTGGTGAGAATGGAGGCAAGATTGAATTTGGTTGAAGATTTATTGTGTTCAATAGATGAAAACAAACCAGTTGCTTAGGAAAAGTATAATTCTTCCAGATACTGAGACCAGAGATGTTTTCCCTTGGGACCTCTTAGACCCAAAATGTAAGGTTGTACACAGCATCCTCAACAACATCTATACAATAAACACAAGTTTTATAGAGTTGCCCTTTAATAATGGAAATCAGAGATATTATAGAGGGTTTTCTCTATTGAGTGAAAAATTGGGCTAAATGAGTATTTTACTGAAATATAGTTATTCCATATAATAACCATAAATGGTTATGGAAACAAGCTTAAATCCTTCCAAATATAAGAGTCTATTAATGCTGGGATATCCCTTTCCTGGAAAAGGTTTAGACAGGCTTTAAGAAGCAGTTTTGTGGTGGCCATAATCTAAACATATGAACTGAGTTAAGCATGTGTCATTTCCAGGAGCTGAAGGGAATTTGGGAATGCCAATCAATGTTGAGTGAAAGGATGGCTAAGAGAGAAGACCCATTGAAAATCAAAATGCCTGAATTTTTCCATTTAAGGAAAATTTGTAAAGAGAATAAAGACCAACTGGAGAAAAAACAATTTTCAGAGGCCCTAGAGAATTTTGTGGACCTGGGCACCTGAAGCACATTGTTTACGGGTTTGACTCAGTTATTTTTAACATAGAAGCTGAGCTAGGCTCAGTAACCTGCTCTGCTCTGCAGAGAGCCGGGGTGCTCTGGCAGACTTACTCTTCAGCGAATTCTGCAGAAAGTGGCTTCTTACTTATCCCAGGAACGACACTGTGCTCTCTATTAGCCTCATTGTGCAGCTAATAGAAAAAAAATCACATTTGTGATTTAAAGTTTCAATACAATGTGAAAAGTACACTGATCTACCTACACTCAAACAGTAAGAGTGCAGGCTGTGAGGACAGGTCAACTGAGCTCTCACCTCTGGAGAGCTCTGTAACTGTGGGCAGGTGACATCCTCAACCTTTGTTTCCTCATCTGTAAAATGGGGAAATAATAGTACATATCTTACAGGGCTTTGTGAACCATAAATATGACAGTTCCTGGGACTTTCAGTAAATACTGAAATTATGCTAGACAACATCATGTTTTGAGAAGTATTTTTTCCTGAAATTGGTGACTAGAGAGAGAAAAACGCATTAAATAACCCACATTCCTAAGTCAGAAAACTTCCAGATAAGGGGCCAGCCACTGTCCCACCCAGTTTGCACTCCAGCTCCCTCCCTCACCCATAAAAAGTGGATTTGAAGTGAAGGGTGTGTTTGGGGAGCGCAGTGCTTGTGAAGAGAAACATTCCAGTGCTTCCTTGCCCCAAAGATGAGAGAGGAAAGCCCCACGAGGATTGAAAAGTTTTAGAGTGTGTATGGGACCAACATCTTTTAGCCCAGTTAGATATCACCTTAGTCACCAGGCTTGCTAACTTGCCTTGGAACTACCACGGAGAAGGACAAACATTGGAGGGTGACGGTGCAGTGGTATGGCCAGGCAGAGGGGCCCAGCATGCTCCCTTTAGCTCCTGGTTCCCAAGATGTACAGAAGATGGATGTGGCCTGAGAACTGGGGTCCTGGAGGGTAGGTGAGATTGAAGGACACAGACTGGCTGCAAACCAGTGAAGAGGGCAGAGCATCCTCTGGGGCTTAGGAGAGCTGGGTTCAGTAGAACTCTCCTCCGCCAGCCCTGGACATCACCCCTGTCTGCACTGGTTCTGCTGGTGCTGAGCTAGACAGTGGGGATGGCCAACAGAAAGGACAGCCACCTCTCAGGCCCGTTACACAAGATGATATCATTTCCCTCTCAGATAAGCAGATACAGGGAACTGGGGGCAGTTATTAAAGAGAAGACCCCTCTCATCCTCTCCCCACTCCCCAAACCACTGGAGTCTCAAGTCTGAGTTACGGTGATAGGAAGAAAACATCTCAGGCCTGGCGCGGTAGCTCACGCCTGTAATCCTAGCTCTCTGGGAGGCCGAGGCGGGCGGATTGTTTGAGCTCAGGAGTTCGAGACCAGCCTGAGCAAGAGTGAGACCCCGTCTCTCCTAAAATTAGAAAGAAATTAATTGGCCAACTAAAAATATATAGAGAAATTAGCCGGGCATGGTGGCGCATGCCTGTAGTCCCAGCTACTCGGGAGGCTGGGGCAGTAGGATCGCTTGAGCCCAGGAGTTTGAGGTTGCTGTGAGCTAGGATGACGCCACGGCACTCTAGCAAGGGCAACACAGTGAGACTCTGTCTCAAAAAAAAAAAAAAAAAAAAGAAAGAAAACATCTCAGTCTTTCTAGTAGAACTGAGATTTTTTTAATAACATGAATTCACTGATGAACTTGGAATCAGGTTAAGATGTGGTTAAGGAGCCACTTAGCCAGAGGGAAAGGAGGGATTAGCAGAACAGAGCTAGAAATCAATTACCGGAAAAATAAACCTGTCATACATTAAGGACTTGACATTCCTCACCTGATCAGTTGTAGTTCTTACCTGAATAATAATCTTCCTCCTCCTAGCTAGTCTCCTGTCTGTCGTTACTGGGTTTTGTGTTCACATTATCTATTTCAAAAAGATTTTTAAATCTTTTTTATTTTCTCCACACATAATCCTAGTAATAGAATATAAAATGCCTAAGACATGAATGGAAACATATGTCCTTGTTTGTTTTCCTGCTACTTTAGCACAAAGATTTCCAGAAGTAGAGCACATGTTTTCAATAATTTATGTTTCTCTTTTTATACTTATAGATTCTTTGCAAACACACGAGTGCAAAAATAGAAGACTATAAAAGTCACCCATATTTTACTATCCAGCTATACTCCTATTAATATTTGCTGTACATTCTTACTACTATTTAATTCACAGATAGACAAACTTTTTTAAAATTAAAATGTATCAAATTACACAAACTATTTTGTAAACTGCTTTTTCCTTTTTAGCACCCATAAGAGTGCCTGACACATCATAAGTTTTTAATAAATATTAATAGTTGCTGAACAAATGTGTGAACTTATTTCCACAGCATTCATAATTTTTCTGTGGCATCATTTTTAACAGTCGTGTAGAATTCTATTATGTGAATGATCATAACTTACCTAACCAGGCCCTGGAGAGCTGAAGAGGGATAAGGCATTGTGAAGGACCCACACGCACCCCAGGCAGTCCCCTTTCGAGCTCACCTGTTACCAGCTGCTCCAGCCCCCAGTCATCAGCCCCCTTCAGGAATTGCCTCAGCTACAGAAAGCTGCCTTCCCAGGGCGACCTGCGTGGAAGGACAGATCATAGAGGGGCCCAGTGCAGAGCAGCTCTGACAGGCCCTCTTCCTCCAGAGCTTCCCAGGGAAGGGGGTTGCCTGAGGCTGTCCCACCTAGACTGCAGCTGTCTTCTCTCTCTGCTCAAGCCTGCTTCTTCCCTCCCCCTTCCATGGGTGTTAATCTCAGGGCACTGCCTAACAAATATACCGCTCACTAAACTTCATCTTACAGCCCGCTTCTGCAGAACCTAACCTGTGACAGAGATGGCCCTGACCCTTGATGAAAGAACTCACAAACACTCGCGTTACTGCCATTAGCCACCTCTGACACAGGTTAAATCAGCTACAGGGCATGTATACCATGACGCGCTATACAGCCGTGAAAAGCAATGTGCTTGGTGCTGTGTAAGACACATGGCAGCTCCACCAGGTGTTATGAGGGGAGGTAGGGGAGGGGATGAGAGAGAAGGGAGGAATTAGACATCAGCAGATAATTACTGGAGCCCTCTTTCTTTGACCGAATTTCTCACAATCTATTCATTTCCAGATCTCTTGATCCTTATTAGTCTTTGGAACACATATGGTGTGAGCGTTCCTTGGGCAATTATGCTCCCCATGAATACAGCAATTACAGAAACTGACACTGGACATGACCCTATACAGGTACACACATATCCACAACACTGTGAGCAGTCGGGATTCACAGGCCTTTTAACACACAAAAGCAGAAGGAAGGATCAAATCACACCCATAAAACAAAATTCAGTCAAACCAAAATAAAAACAAAAACCCTGAGTTTGTATTTGAGGAAAGCCTGGACCTGGGAGGGATGCGCAAAAGTGATGAGCTGAGGCCAGTCAAAGTGCTTCCACCTGTCAGAGCCGCACATTCCAGAGCAGCAGAAATCTACCGGCAGAGCTTCCGGTTACTCCCTGCGTGGGCGAGGAGGCTCAGGCTGCAGCAGGCCCAGCCCACGTGTGACGCCTCCTCCCAATCACAGACCACCCTTGGCTGGGCCCAGAGGTTCCAAGAATTGCTGCAGGTAGGAAAGCACGGTGGCTGGTGTGGACTGCAAGTGGGCCGGCACAGCTCCAGCAGGAGGAGGCCAGGGCTGGGTGAGTAGACTGGTTTCACTCCGCAGGGGAGCAGTGCCTGCCTTGCTTTCCTGGAAGGGAAGTTAGCGGTCTGAGAGGGAAGGGGGAAGAAGTTGTGTTCTTGACTAATACAGTCTGTCATCTTTTGTAATTTAGGATATTGTGACTGTTCTGTTCTCTTTTACTTTGAACTGTACAGATTACATCCTTTAAACCTTCGATATATGTCCTGTTCTCAGAACTGAGATTAAAGCTCTAGAGGTGTTACGCAGCCATCCTGATTTCAACCTCAAATTTCCACACAGAAACACCAAGGAAACAATCTGAGAACCCTGAGAAACCCTATATCACCGATTGAATCAGATAGACACACCTTTGTAGACCCTCGATTCCCTTGTGGAGTCAGAAAAGCAAAAGAAAATTTAAGGAAATGGATCGTGGTCTTTCTTAATAATCTGTCCCTTAGCCTAGCAGTTTACTGGTCTTCTTGTCAGAGATCATTTGGTCGTGCCAACTTGGAATGGAATGTGTGAGGCAGTTTACTCACCGTTCTTCTCTGCAAGCGGTCGTGCTTAACAAACGTGTCAGTTGAAATAAGTCCACAAATTAGCTTCATCTACACAATGTTATTTTTACATAATTTATTTTTACTTTTTGCCAGTTAGATCCACCAGGATCTGCAAAACATAAAGATAATTTTTGTTCTAACATTTTTACACAAAATACAAATTTGTTTCAAATAATGCTAATATTATTCCACATTTACATTCTATGTTCATGTTTATGAGCCTAAAACCCCACTTCTAATTAGCTTTAAGATTCTTAAGACATTTAAGAATTTTTATTATTTTAACTGTTTTCTTTTAATTAAAGACAATGTTTATTGACTGCTTCTTGCCTGAGTAAGGTTGCTAAGCATGACAGGAAAGAACTCACTTGGGTTTTATGTATATAATATTTCAATTATTTATAAAACTTAGGTTATATAGGTTTAAAACTTAGTGAAACAATGGCTTTTCTTTTTATTAACCTTCTCAATGAAGAGAAAATTTTCTTATTTTGCTTTCTGCTACAATCAACTGTTTTTGCTTTGTGCTGCAATAGTCTTAGAAATCAACTCACGTATCTTTTTTAACTACCTGGGACGAATCACGGACTTTTAGGTGCTAAGGTGACCGTAGACACCATTTAGTCAAGAGAAAAAATGAAATCTCTAAATTTGTTTTTGACGTTTCCCATTTACATTCTTAACCAGAGCAAACACCAGTCAGCCCTAGAATATGCTGTAGCCTGCTCTGGAATCTGGGCCCGATGGCCATGCAGGCTGCCACAGACCTGACGGGCCACCATTCCCTAACAGGGACAGAGACCACGATGGGGAGGAGGCACGGCACCCTCATGGCACCTCCCCCAGGGATTCTCCGTGGCATTCCTGCCCTGGGCCTGGGCATCCCACCGCCACCTCCCACACCCAAGGTCCTCACACAGTTGAGTGCACCTGAGCCGTTGCTTAGCTTAATCCTTGCTCTCTGGTGAGTGGATGACTCCAATCAGTTAGGGAGCACCAGGAACCAAGGGCTGTGCTGTCCAGTAGAACTTTCTGTGAGGAGGGAAATGTTTTAGACAATAGCCACTAACTACATGTGCCTATCAAGTGTTTGAAAGTAACTAGAACGACTGAAGAACTGAAGTTTTATTTCCATTTCATTGAATTCATTTGACTTTAAATAGCTGCATGCAGCTACTAGTTACCGTATTTGTCAACACGGGTTTAGAGCTTTCAAACAAGAACTTGATAGGTGCTGTGAGCTGTGGATGTCATTCCCAGGGAGTCATCCTACCCTAAATTGAAGCAGCCCAGCAATTGTCTTCATCTGAAATGTTCACACCCATCTTGACTCTCCTCTCTAAGTCAAGCAACTGTCTGCTCTTGCCCTGGGTTTCAGGGTCAGGGCTAAAGCAATAGCATATTGTGTTTCGTGGTTTTTCCCTCTGCCGTTTCTCTTTTTTTTTTCTTTTGTTAATCCAAATTTCTCTAACATGAGCTAGAGTTTGAGGTGTGGTCTGTGTGTTCTCTGGTGCAACAAACTTGGGTGAGGAAAAGAGGTAATGAACTTGAAAAAATGATCTCATGCTTATTGGGTGAGTCTCACTTCTTTTTCTTCTGCTTTGAAAATCAGTTTGTTTAGTGAGCAATTTTTTTAAAACCTATTCAATGTGTCTGGAAACATCAACACTCTGGATATGAATAATTTTTATGAGAAAACAAACTGAACGAAGACACAAGAAAGAAAAATCAAGAAATATAATTCTAGCCTTTAAAAATGTGCACTCCTTAAAGCAAAGGAACTTCCAGCATGTTTAGCAACTCGAGCAAATCATCATGGTGCCAGGCCACTGGGCAGTTTTTCCACAGGGTGGGGCCCACGGGGACTACTGCTTTACGCAGAAAGCATTTTGAGGTGAGTTGCACACTGTCTAAGGCAATATGGTTTCTAACGTGGGCAGTTGCTACTCCACCCTCTGCCCCTTCCTAGTTTTTCAATTCACCTCATCCCAGTTGTTTCCTTTAAAGCCCTGCCAGTTAAAGAACTCTTATATGTGAGAGGGAAGCGGTGCTTTAGAATAACGTGGGAAATTTCAGAAGACCACGTTTGAAACACACCTCTCACATCTGCTGAGAGAAGGCAGGAAGCGAGCATGCAGCGTATCCTCAGGACTCAGTCTCCATCCACAGACAGAGCCAGAGCCGAGCCCCCACATCATGAGTCAGGAGCTTTGTCTTTTTAGGCTCTATCTTCTCTTTGGGTCTCTCTCCTTCTCATGGTGTCTTCCCTCTCCCTTTGAAAATTCCGTATGAGGAAGGATCTGATAAAATCATTCACAATGAGGCACTGGCATTGATGGCTCCTGAGACTTAATGTGCCTCTTTTATATGTATTTGCATTTTAGTCAGGAAAAAAGGAGCAGTTCTCTAATTGTGGCATTTCAGAAATTAGGTTGAAGAATGAGGAAAACTTTGAATGAAGGGAGAGGGTGGAAGGCTTTCTCCTTGCTAGCTTTGTTCATGTGACTCCCTTTCTGGCTTAACTCGTAAGGAAAAGGGCAGGCTCAAGGGCAGAGCACCGGCAGTTTCTCTTAATTTTAAAGAGACATAAAGGAAGGTGGCATCTCCCTATCTCAAAAAAGGAGAATGAATAGTGACAAACTTCATGCAAGGCTGGCTTAAGAGTAAAGAGACCTGGACTTAAACCCTAACTCTGCTAATAATTAATACGCCAACGAGCACGAACAAGTCATGTCCTCTCCATGGGCCTTGGTTTCCTTATCTGTGAATGAGGGGACTGACTACAAAGCCTCTAAGTCTGCAGCCAGAGCTGACATTTTATCATGCTGTGAATGGGCACATGGCCGATAACTGTCCAAGGATAAACGATTTCTTAATTTCTCCTGAATTACATACCCTTTAAGACAAACAAAAACTACCAAAAGTGTAGCCAGTGACTTCTAGGTGTGTCATGCAACAATTCATTTGAGAGTTTATAATTTCACTTTCTAACGCAATTCTTTGTCAAATTGGCTTTTTTGATATATGGCAATCTATTCTTTTGTGGGTTCAGAATAATTTATTAAACAAACTTGGGTGACAGAAAGAGGTAACAACATTCCAGGAAGGGTTGCTGTGGCAGAGGCTGGGAGGGAAGAGAAGCCATAGACACATATCCACCACGGTTTCAACACCCCTGGAGAGCTATGTGCTAAGGGCAGAGAGGGGGACGCAGGAAAGGAAGGATAATTCTGGGCAAGGGAAGTTTGGGGGGAAGAAGACGTTTTTCAGATGGGCTTCAGAAGATGGTAAAGTGATCAATAGGCAAAAATGGGAGAAGGGATTCCAAAGAGAGGGACAACCTGGAAGCATAGTCACCAAGGAGGCAGTGGAATATGGCAAGCAGGCCGTTGGGAACCTGGTTGGATACTGCCTTGAATCCAAGCGAAGGAGTTTGTATTTTATCTCAGGCGGTCCAACCTTTCTTCTACTGACCAGATGGAGAATGAAATGGTTGAGTCTGGCCAAATACTATAGACTGGTCTATCAGAATAGAACAGGAGCAAATCTGGATTTAAAGAAACAAGTCAGCAACAGAGCATGGGTGGACAAGTAAAGCCATCTGGCAATGAGAAGTAAGAGGGAACCAGTGGCCAAGCTTGTGAGTGCAGAAGGAGCTAACTAGGGTTCTCCTTTAAATGTAGTCTACAGGGAACCCTTGAAGGTTTTTAAGCAGGGAAGTGATATAAATTGAGAGCTGTGTTTTAAGACGGTGGATGTCAAGATTGACTAAGTGTCTGGCGCTGAGAAGGCATGTTTATTTTTGTGGAATACCACAAAGAGTTGATATACTAAATTTAAAATAAGCAAGTAGATCATTTTGGCCTAAATTCATATCAAAAACTAGATTCTATCACAGATAGGTGGTAATAGCACCCAAGATTTAAGAAAAATTTTTAAGAGGAAGATATTTGAAATGACGAATATTGGTCAGTAATTTTTCTTTAAATTAGGAAATGACTGCAATCATTCAATGTTGGCATCAAAATATGTTGTCCCGGTAAATGGAACACCTGTGCTCTGTAGGATAATTTGAGAATCTTTGCATTATAAAGTTTATTCTGGAAGCAATGTGTGGAATGGAACAGAAATTGTTGAATTCAACTGAGCCAGAAGTTAGAGGCTGGCAGTGGGAATTGGAAAGAAAGGGTAAAATGGTCTTAGGTGATATCAGAAAGTGATTATATTTGTTTCTATCAAAAATATAAATCCAGGGCCAGGTATGGTGGCTCACACCTATATCCCAGCACTTTGGGAGGCCAAGACAGAAGGATTACTCGAGGCCAGCAGTTGGAGATCAGCCTGGGCAATATAGAGAGACCCCTGTTTCTATAAAAAATTAAAAAATTAGCCAGGCATGGTGGTGTACCTGTAGTCCCAGCTACTCAGGAGGCTGAGGCAGGAGGATTTCTTG